ACTGCTAACGTTTAAAGATTCCTTTTCCTTAAAAAGAAAACCACCATTTCTACCATCAGATTTGTATCCATAGACATTTAATGCCCCAAGCAGTTGTCGCAACCCGAGAGGCTCTCTTTTTCTTTAAGTAAAGAGTCTTCTTCCATTAAAAGGAGCTAACATGCACATGCTTCAAGTCGCAACCTCCATAAAAGAAACTCAAGTTTCTCACAAACTTAGCTCTCATAGTTCTCTTTGGGCAAACCAAAGTCTCCAGCTTTTTTCTGCATCTGTTTTCCCTCTAAATCAGACTTTGAACTCTTCCTTGCTCCCATGAGACCCTCACATCCAAACACAGCTCATGCTATTGCACTGGTGGCACCAACAATACTGAAATATGCTCCTATGCACTGAACAGTGCACCATGTTAGCCATATCTTACTAATAAGTCTTTCCATATTCTGTTCTAATCAACTCAGACCAGTGAATCTTTGAGGTGTGAGTCCACCTTTGCCCTCTGAACACTCTCCCAAATGTTTCCCCTTGTGATTTGGTGAAGCAAAATGGGTTAAAATCAACCTATTATCAGTTGGTTTCAGCTTACCATCAACTCTCTGGCTCAAAGTAAAGGTTTCAACCTGACCCAAAAAACGCAGAGCACATGGAAAGTGCTAATCCTTTCCTCTCCACTCTCTCACACCTTCATTTCGCACATATTTTTAAGTCTAACATATTCAATCAGATTTTTATTCATCTCCATATGTTCTGTAGATGCAACAAAGGATGGTAGGGGTTGGACACCCCTCTGACATCGTACACGTTGTGCTCAACTCCCATAGAACCCAAGGGTGTTTCTCGGGCAGTAATCTAAGGCATCATCAGATGGTTCTGTTAATGTAATATTAGTGTGCCATATCTAGCTGTCCAGCTGTCCCACTAATGATAATGTTTCTGCTTTCGGTGTTAGTTAGTTAGTATCCTATGTGTATCACATTTCCTCTCTATAAATGAGAGTGTTGTAAATCACTGAAAAATCAATCAATTAAATACATACAATTCTCTCTGTATTTCTCTCTTTATACATTGAATTTAACATGGTATCAAAGCTATAAGATTTAGACTTATATTTTTTTTCTCCCTGGCTGGCAGCCTTGCCTTCACTGTCTGCTGGAGTTTTCAACACATACTAGAAACTCTTCTTCTTTCGCATTTTTCTTCTCATAACGCTCACGGAATGCATACCCACCAGATCCAACTGCAGCCTCAGCTGCTATCTCTTCCTCTATCTTATGCTTGTGGGCATGCTTTGGGTAATTCTTTGACTGGGAGCTTGGTGCTGTTACTGCTGGCACGTTTGCCTTGTATAAGAAGCATCAGTACTCTCACTATACTTACTCCCTCTGCTTCCATAGGCGTTGGTGGTCTCACCATAGGTGGTCACTTCTTCAACGCCACACCATAGCTGGTGGTGGTGCTTCTCTTCGGCCATTGTGAGGTGTGAGCACTCTGAACATTATCAAAGAACATCATAATGGAGCATTCCGTCCAGATCTAAGGGGACGTATTACTCAGATACTCACCTTGGCCGTCCAAACCCAGACCTCTCTCTGCTATCACCAACAGTTTTGCTTTCAACCGGCTTAGAGCCTCGATCTTGTTCGCTAGTTGGGATCTCTCTTCTGTGCAGCGAAGAGTAACGCCAGTGGGGATATGGGTAATTCGGGCAGCAGTTTCAACCTTATTCACATTCTGAACATGTCTCTCATCTCTGGTCTATGGTAATATCAACGAAGCTCTCTCTCTCAAAGGCAAAAGGCAGCATCTTCTCCCAAATCACACCCAGACACCAACTTTTGTCCCCCTCTTTTCGTTTCTTTTTACTTTAATATTATCCACCCACTCTTCTTTTATTTAAACATAAAACCCTCTCTCCACTCATTCATTTTATTATTATTATTATGCACAAACTCATAATCCATAATCCATGTGCTCTTTGACCCCTTTTATCAACCCTTACCACCCACACACACACACACACACACACACACACATATATATATATTTTGATTACTTTTCCATTAGTATATATATATTTTTTCCATTAGTGATAGGACCCGCCCAAACAAAACACTCTCACAATTTTTTACAAATTTGAATCTCACCTTTCCTTTTTTATTTTTTATTACTTTAACATTCACACACTTCTCTTCAACTTTATTCACACACTTCTCTTCAACTTTATTTTCTTTTATACTTTATTTTCTCCCACTACCTCTCTGTTTATGTCAGTGCGATACATAGCCTTCCCTCCGGAGAACATGGGTATGAGTAAAAAAAAAAAAAAAAAAAAAAAAAAAAGAAGAAGAAAAAAAAAAAAGAAGAAGAAAAAAAAGAAGAAGAACTGCACACCAAACTCATTTTATTCATGTCGGGCTCACACCGATCCACATTTTACACCACAAACACAACAAAAACCAAAAAAAAAAAAAAAAAAAACCCATAACAACAAAGGATTTTTCTTTTCCCTTCTCTACTCTGCGCAGGTCTCTTCTTCTTGCTTTTATCTTGGGTGTCCCGTGCCAGCCCGGTCTCAGTGCTTCCTAGTCCACCGAGCACGTTCACTCCCCCCTGCTCCTCCACCGCAGCATATGGCGGACCTTCGAATCTGAACATAACGGTGGCCTTCGCTTTCAGCTCCTTGTTTTCCGCTTTTAGCACACATATCTCTGCTCGCGCATCCTTATACATGCGCTGGAGCAGAGCCAGTTGGGCGTTTAACTGCTGCACCTCATTTGTCCTACTCTGAAGCTGGTGCGACAAGTTTGTGACCGCAGTCATGGTCTCCACACATGACTTCAATGTATAATGATTGGCTTCAATATCCGATTGCGCTACCATTATTTGCTCCACAGATAGCATAGGAAAGTTCAACGAAGCAAAACCAGGGGCGCTTGGTTGAGGTTCAAGGGCAACCGTACCGGTTATCTCTCTTGTGGACTCGTTGAGGTCTGGAAAGAGAGTGAGCAGACCACGGGAAGAAGAGGCCATGTTCTGGGTTGCTGAGTGTTTCAGAGAAGCAGCGATTTCAGACTGGTAATGTCAGAAAGGGTTGATTGCAGAGTGTTTCAGAACAAATATGTTCAGAGGTTTCAGACTAGTTTGTTTTGCACAGCCTCCGCCTCGGTTTATATAGACAATGACGAAGAGAACGACACAACGCTCTGTCGATTACGTGCATCGCCGCGTGTCCGGCGCGACTTTTGATGTCTCGCCGCTCGACGATTTCTGTCGGGCACAACTTTTGATGAATTGGGCGTGCCTTTTGAAGGCTTGATATATATATATATGTATATCTTTTGGGCAGCCTATATACACAATCATACAGTGTATTTTCTACATCGGTCCGGCATGACCTCATAAACTATCCTGACATTGATGCCGGTTAACTTCTACATCGGTCCGGCATGACCTCGTAAACAGTCCCGACATTGATGCCGGTTAGCTTCTACAACAGTCCGGCATGACTTCATAAACTGTCCCGACATTGATTCTGGTTAGCTTCTACAACGGTTCGACACGACCATACAGTGTCTTCTCCAACGGTTCGACACGACCATACAGTGTCTTCTACAGCAGTTCGACACGACCATACAGTGTCTCCTATCCTATTTTATTCTATTTTATTTTCCTGTTTTGTTACTCTCTCCAAACTCAAGCTGGTTGGTTCCTATCCCCCCTGAGTTTGAGGGGGGCTATTAATGTAATATTAGTGTGCCATATCTAGCTGTCCAGCTGTCCCACTAATGATAATGTTTCTGCTTTCGGTGTTAGTTAGTTAGTATCCTATGTGTACCACATTTCCTCTCTATAAATGAGTGTTGTAAATCACTGAAAAATCAATCAATTGAACACATACAATTCTCTCTGTATTTCTCTCTTTATACATTGAATTTAACAGGTTCAACGGCATCCAGCTACTCAGCATGAGAAAAACCAACTAACCACGTGGCAGCCAATATGCCAAATCGGTCATATTATGCATAATAGTGACCTCGAACAGTAGGGCCCATGGGCCCAGCCACATCTGCAGTCGTGCAAAGCTCAGATGTCAGATCACTTGAAGCTTAACAGGACCATGTCTGTACAATTCAACCTATCAGATCATGCCGCGTTCTGGGAAAAACACAAACACCCCCAAACAGTGTCCATATATAAATACTGCATACAACAAACATTCTAATGTTTCAATCTTAAAATAACTCAAATTTTCACACACCTTTCCATTGTTCGTTTAGTGCTTTGTCCAATATGAAGTGCATGAGCATCAATTATATAGGTTATAATTACTCCTATTTCTGTCACATTATCTTGTCCCTTTCCTTATAAGGGTTTCGGTTGGTTTTACTTAGATCCTCATTTACATATTTAAGTATTTCCAAATTTCTCTGCTCTCACCTCGCCGCATAACTTCTAGTCAGAATGCTTATTTTAACTCTCCCTTCCAATCATAGTGACCATCAACTACATCGCTTTACCTTGGTAAGTTGGTAATATAAACCAAGCTATGTTAGACTAGCTTCTGACCCAAACTTCTCCAACAAAACCGTAGGTACGTTGATTACAATGGAGTGCTGATGCAGTCTATTGCTTCAAAAGACAGCCCCTATCTATCCCATTGGCCATATCCTGTTGCACATGAGTTTCAATAATAAAAATTGCTTAAGGGAACTGCCCAAGCCTTTGCTCCAAATATTCTCAAAGTCGTGTTCCTATTGTATCTAACAATGGTTCAACACTAGTTATCATCCAACTTATGCAAACATCTTATTTCCAGAATTGTGACTGGGTGCATAAAGAGACATTAAGCATGAAGAAATAAACATTTAAATAAATGCTTTTTGTACTTGTTCCATGACAACAAAGTAGAGTTACACACTCAAAGCAATGTACAAGAAAAATATGACATGTTGAAAGAACTGTTGGCTCAACCGCCAGATGCTGATGCATGTTCACTGCCATACCTTGCATCCCTTACAAAACTGCATCGTCAAAACCTGGCTTGTCGTTAACTCCTGGACACATTTAAATCGTTGTCAATTTGAGATAAATGATATGTGCGGTATACCTTTGTATTTAGAAATGCATCATACGAAAAACCCCAAATGACAGAATATAAAACTGATAATGATGTGGCAGTAAATATCATACCCAAAAAACAAAAGGAACCCTGACCACTGCGTTGTTTTTGAAGTTTTCGGCTGTTCTCTCTGAATTTCTTGCTTCATGGATGAAATCTGTAGAATGACGCCAAACAAAAAATAAAAAGCTAATTAATGAAATAATTGAATTTTATGAAAACACCTCACAAAGAGTCACCATCAAAAACTGCATAAATCAAAGCTGCATCCTTTTAGGATGAAGAAGAGAGAAACTGCATTAAAGAAAAAGACAAAAGAAAAGAAAGACGGAAGCACTTGTTATAGAATACACGGCCACCTTGAATTTCAAATGAAATTTTAATGACCAGCAATTGTCAATGCATTTTCATTAAACACAACTGCAGCAGGTTTTTCAGATGGCTGTAGAAGGGCAAAACCATCTAGGCTCTAGCTCTATTTGGTGATTAGGAGTTTGTTGGTACTGAAATAGATTATCTAATAAATTATGGTGGGAATCATTAGCATGGACTAAAAATAAAATAAAAAAACATGATTATATGTCTCCAAGAAATAGAGGTTCAAACTAAATTCCAACAGTAGTTAAATGGGCTAAATTACACGGACCTCTCATGAAGTATCTGACAATTACATGGACTCCCCTATGGTTTTTGAAATTACACTACCCTCACCTGTCAGAATTATCGGCTAACTGAGGTTAACAATAAATGTAAAATTACCCTTTCGCTCCTTTACAAATTACCAAACAAACTCAAATTAAAGGGTAAATTACAATTTCACCCCTAAAGTGTGTGTCATTTCTTACTTCGGACCTTAAAGAAAAGATTCACCCACTTTGGTCAAATTATCAACTCCCATCACTGTTAAGGTGCAATTTAGGAATTTCAAAAATTAAGCTTCCCACTTTGGTCCCTAAAAAATAAGTTTTCTCAATTTGGTCCCTAAAATTTTCCCAATTTGGTCCATAAATCCAAACTCAACCTAATCTCAAAACCATCCCCACCCCTCAATCAACCCAATCTCAAAACCCAACTTTATATCAAATGGACAAAAAATGTGAAAATTACAGTCGGTATGCATCATTCAAGGAGCAAAAAGGCTACAAATCAAAGTCTAGGAGAGGGTGAGGGAGGGGTAGGTGGTCGGTTATAGAAATAGGGTGGAAAGGTACATATAGAAGGGGAAAGCAAAGGAAGAGTGAAGGTTCAAGTGACGTGAGACAACATTTTAGTAGATGCTGTGACAAGTAGTGATTGAGAGTTTTTTTTTTTTAATTTTTTTTTTAAAATTTTTTTTAATGAGAGAGTTAGACAAAAAAAGATTTGGGTTGGGGACTGAAGTGGGAAAATCTTTTTTTTAAGGACCAAATTGGAAAATTTTCCATAATTTCCATAATTTTCTATAAAAGTATAATGGTCATTAAAATTTGAATCAAAGTGAAGAGTTTGATAGTTTAGGGAACAAAGCAAGAGCATCTTTTAAGGACCAAAATGAGAAATGGATCATACTCAGCCAAATTAAATTTTGCTTGCCTCACAATCATCGACTCTCTGCAAACCATCGTCCTTAATGTTGCTGCCTCCTCTTATTCTTTTTGCTCACTCCCCCACCCTCCACCATCACATGTACACTTATACAGTGCCATATCTTTCTTGGCCGCCTTCTCTCCTTCGATCACCTCCACCATGAAAACTAGTATTGGTTATTGGTGAACCAATGATAGGTTGTGATTGTGGTGATGAACATAATGCTGTCGTTGACACCTTCCCTTCCCATAAGAAACATTACAAACAATAACAATGGTGAATTAGACCAGCTTGGCACACCACCCCACCCCATCAACCTGAACCCAATTTTCAAGTAATTTTCTAGAAAAACAAATAGAGAACAGAAAGCAATCTAGTTCAAAGCCCTAATTGTTACCCTCTTCTAGTTCAATCTCACCTAGGGCTCACATTTGGCTACGTTTGACGAATCGGGCAGTGGCCTCTACCATCGAAGTTGGATTCGATCCCAATCCCTATTCTTCTTCTTCTTCACTAATTTATGGCAACTCCATCTACCTAAGAGTTGCCATCTATCTCCATTGTTTTATCTTTACTGTTTCCACCAATGGCCATCAAATTATTTTCAGTTTGGCCAACTTGGGCTCTAGTAGATGGTGGTGATGGGGTGGGTTGGTCTTCGTTGAGCATGGTGATGGGGGGATGGATGGGGTACCAGTAAAGGGTTGATTTGGGCAGTGCCAGGAGTAGGTCGGTCATGGGCAGCTCACGGTGAGAACTTTAGCTAGAGATGATGGGTGTGGCATATGGTGAGTTCACTATGTATGTGTAGGTGCAATGAGAGTGGCAGTTAGTTGTGGTGGTGGCAATAGGGAGAGAGAAGAGGTTGTTGTACCAGGGAGAGAATGGCAGTGGTGAGAGTGAGGGTTGGCCACACTGGTGGCTGTATGGTATGGAGAAGGATGGCAGCAGGGACTAATGTGGTCGTGGTGGTGGAGGAATGGTGTTTGATGGGTGGTGTTGATGGAGAGAAGATTGGAATTGAGAAGGGGAGAGAAGTGAGAAGAAGGGTGTTCGGTTGTCAGATTAATATTCTGATGGGATGTTTGGTTGTGGTGGTAAGGGATGTAGGAAACAAAGGAATTTTTGGTATTTAGAGACTAAAATCTGCTGAGATAAGAAAATTTCATTACCATTTCTAAATATGAGATACCAAATGAGAGGTTTGTGTATATTGTTAGAAAAAGTAAGGGAGCGCAATGTTATTTTAGAAATCACAGGGGAGGTCCTTGTAGTTGTCATAAACCTCAGAGGAGGTCAGTGTAATTAGCTCTAGTTAAATTTATGTTCTTAGATGCAAGAAGAATTCATTAACAAAGCTACGTAAGTTTAATTTCAATGTTGTAGTTCAAAACCTATATGTACAATTGTTTGTTTTAGCTTATTCTAAGCTCAACGTACAAAATTTCTAAAGTAGAATTTTTTTTTTTTTGGGATAAATAAGCAAATATTATTAAGAAAGCATCAAGATGATGCAACCAATACAAGAAAACCTCCCCAGATTGGGGAAACCAAAAAAACAAGGGCTAACCTATCACCTCATCTAAGAAATCGAGAAACACAAATAAATCCGGATCTACCCTACCCTCCAACCAACTATACATAACTACAAGAAGACGATTTTGTAACCAAGAAACACCATGAGACACCCCTAAAAAAGTACGACGATTCCGCTCCAATCAAAGCAGCCACATCAAACAGAACGGGGCCAATAGCCAAGGCTGCTGCCGTTGCCGTCACCTGAGACGAACACCTCGCCAAGCCCAAAAGAAATCCAACACCCCCTAGAGCTAAACCGAAGCAACCCCAAAGACTAAACAGATGAAGCCCCATAGATACGACACCATCAAATAATGAAGAAATAAATGATCCACTGCCTCCGCATCCTCACAGCACATACAACACCAGTTCACTAGGATATGCCCCCCGCCGCATCAAATTATCCAACGTAAGGTTCTGACCTAAGGCAGCCGTCCACATGAAAAAAGCAACCTTAGTCGGAACCCAAACACTAGTCCAAGGAAAGACCCGACCACCATCTCCCAATAACCCCCAATAAAATGACGCTACAGTGAACTGTCCCTTTGCCCCCATCCCATTCCACACCATGACATCTTGACCCACCCCAACAGTCCCCGATCCATATAAAAAACCCCACAGCTCTACTAACTGATTAACCTCCCAATCTTGGACCTCCCGGCATAATTGAATATCCCAAAGTACCACACCCCCAGTACCCAAATAAGACCCAACTGTAGCCTTTTGATCTGTCGCAATATTAAAAATCAAAGGAAAATGGATCTCCAATACAACCTCCTCACACCACTTGTCCTTCCAAAACTGCACCCTAATCCCATCCCCCATCTTAAACCCTACCCACTTCCAAAACTCCACCCTCTATATCCAAATCCCTTTCCATAACCCACAACCATAAGTACATGACACAACTCTCAAAACCCAACCCCCTCGATCCACCCCATATTTAGAAGCCACCTACTGCCGCCACAATCTGTGAGGCTCCACAGAAAAGTGCCACAATCACTTCCCTAACAGGGCTCGATTAAAAGTCACCAACCTCCTTACCCCCAAACCACCAACTTGCTTGGGTTGACAGATCTGTCCCCAATCAACCAAATGATACATAAAATCATCACCATCACTACCCCACAATAAGTCCCTCTGAAGCTTCTCCAACCGCTGCGCCACCGACACTAGAATAACATGGGCCGGCATAAAATAAGTGGGGATTCTATTCAACACACTCTTAATCAATGTCAACAGCCCACCCTTCGAGAGAAATTGGCACTTCCAATCCGCCAATCGACGTTGAACCCGTTCCACCACTCCATCCCACACCCTTTTCGCCTTGAAAGAAGCCCCTAACAGCAACCCCAAATAGGACACCGGCAAAACCGAGACCTTACATCCCAATACCGCTGCTAGGAAAGGAAGCCTATCAACCTCCCCAATTGGAATGAACTCCGACTTCCGCAAGTTAACCCGAAGGCCCGGTACTGCCTTAAAACAAAGCAAAACACATCTCAGATAGCCAACCTGCTCCACTTTCGCCGCACAGAAAATCAAAGCATCATCCGCATATAACAAATGAGAAACCCCAATAGGAGTCCCAGCCAATGAGCCCACAACAAAACCTTCCAATAGACCTTCGCACACGGCGTTATCCAGCAATCTACTCAACGCCTCCATCACTAAGAGAAATAGCAATAGTGACAAAGGATCCCCCTGCCGAATACTGCGATGTGTCTGAAAGAAACCCGCCGGAGTCCCATCAATCAACACCGACATCCGCATAGTCAAGATACAAAACTTGATCCACTGACACCAAGTCTCCCCAAAGCCCATACGAGCCAAAACATATAAAAGGAACTCCTAGTGATCATTGTCATACGCCATACTCCAAGTCCCTAATCCTTGAAAAGGGACAGTTTTGTTGGGATTCTTCAATAACAATCCCATACTTCTCAATTATTAGACATTGACTGAAGTGTTGGTGCATCAATATTGCTGAGCTAATAAGCTACAGACAACTGGTTGTGTTAGTAACCACAGGAAGTGTTAAAATCCACCTACTCTCCACCTACTATCACCCACTTAAAACCTACTCCCTAAACCGTAACCCACTACACCACTTACCACCTCACCTACTCCACTAAAACCCTAACCCACTACACCACTACCACCTCCACTTCACCTACTCCTTACCTACTACACACTCACCCCTCTTCTATATATAGGAACTCATGAATCATTGTAATATATATCAATTACAATCATTATCAATAATATTAGATCACATCAATAATACAATCATTTCTTTTATACATTTAAATTTCTTACATGGTATCAGAGCAGGTTTAGAACCTAATATTTTTTCGCTTCACCGGCGGGCGGCAACCTACACCTTAGCCGCCCGCCGTCGCCTCAACCTATTCCAGCTGTCATCTCTTATCAATACATATAGCCTTCCACGTTCGCCAGCCACAGAGGCGACTTCTCTACATACAAAGGATCAACAAGTCATAACACACCAGACGGTTTCCAAAACCAAGGGAAAGTGCCGGTAAACATCCAACAACAGAGGTCCTGAACCTTCTCATTACCCGGCCACTCAAGATAGCAGCTTGGACAGAAGCACCATAAGCAACAGTCCTTCCCATTGAAGAAGTCCTGCAATAGCTTGCTGGACCTTGGGAATCCTGGTAGATCCATCAACAAGAACAACATCGTGAACAGTCCTTCCCATCTGAAGAAGTCCTGCATAGCTTGCTGACCTTGGGAATCCTGGTAGATCACCAACAAGAACAACATCCGGTAACAGTGCTCTTGTCCATCTTAGCATCTCTCAAACACTTTCTCAACTGGTTCCATACACGTTCTGAAAGAGATCCCATGTGAAGCTCCCAATCTGGCACGGGTAATGGGGGAGAAAAGGTCAACACCCTCATAAAGGGAAATCCGATTTCAAATGGTGGTCTGGGCGGTGGATGAGAGAGTCCTCTTCGGGTGCGATGGATTAATTATGCTAATGCATATTGCTCCACCCACATAATTTTATATTTATTTTATCACATACCCATCATGTACCCCACTCTGCTCTCTCATCTTCACTTTCACCAACCCACAATCCTTGTTTTAATCCAACCCACTCCCTCACTTTCTTTAAACCCCTCTTTCCCTCACATGGGCTTGTTCCCCTCTCTCTTCCTCCGTTTGATTTCAAACTCCATTATTTTTATTTATTTCTCCAAACCACTTTCCTTATTTTGCCCCATCTTTCATTTGATTTTCAAATATATTTTTATTATTTCTTTCTATTTTTCTTTCACATTATTCTTAATCTTTTTCAAATTTCCATCATTACCATATAGCTTTGCACACCAAACCATATTTTATTCATCTCAGGGATCAACCCCCAATCACAAATTTTACACCAAAAAAAAAAAAAAGGAAACCACACCAAGATCACCATCACAACAACAAACAGATTGTTGTTCTTTTCTGCATCGGCCACCCACCGACCTACTCTGCCAGCCGTCTCTTCTTTTTGCCTCCGTCTATGGGCGTTCCTTGACGGTGCTGCCTCTGTGCTTCCTAATCCACCAAGCACAGTTTACTCCTCCCTGCTCCCCACTACAGCATATGGTGGCCTCCAAATCGGAACATCACGGGTGGCCTTCCCGCTTCAGCTCCTTGTTTTCTGACTTTAGCACACTTCATCTCTGCTCGCGCATCCTTATACATGCGTTGGAGCAGGAGCCAGCTGGGAATTTAACTGTTGCGCCACCTCATTTGTCCATGCTCTGCAGCCGGTGCGACAAATTGTGACCGCAGTCATTGTTTCCACGCATGACTTCAGAGGTATACTGATTGGCCCTCAATATCAAGTTGCACCGCCATTTTTGCTCCACCGACCGCATCGGGAAAGTTCAACGGAAGCAAACTCCCGGGGCGCTTGGTTGAGTTCCAGGTGCCACCACACCAGTTATTTCATCTTGTGGACTCATCAGTTCTGGAAAGAGCGTTAAGCAGCCCTACGGGAGAGGAGGGCCATGTTCTGCCGTTAGCTGGACGGGAAGAAGAGCCATGTTTGGGTTGCTGAGTTTTTCAAGAGCAGCGTGTGGTTACAGAGGTCTCTCTCAGAAATCTCTCTCAAATACAGCGTATTACAGAGTTTCCTCTCAGCGAGGAAGAATTTTTCAGAGGTTTCTCTCAGTTTTCTGTCTCAGCTTCTGCCTCAGCCTCGCCTCAGCCTCCGTCTTGGGTTTAAATAGCCGAGGCAGCACGCGTATCGCGCGCCACTTGACGCCAGACGACAAACGGCCGCGCCAGCCAAGCACCACGTGCCTCGCCGCATTCATGTCCGGCCACATCTTTTTTATGACTTGGACTCGCCTTTTGCATGCAGCCTGTGTTTTATGGATTGGGCACGCCTTTTGATGGCACCGCTTTTTGATAGATTGGGCACACCCTTTGAGGGTGCGACTTTTAAGGGTCCGACAAGACTCTGTAAACTGTCCCTTACATTGATTCCGCGTTAGCTCCTTCATGGTTCGACAAGGACTCTGTAAACTGTCCCGACATTGAATTCCGGTTAGTTCTACAAAGGGGCCAACAAGACTCGTAAAACTGTCGCCGACATTGATTGCCGGTAGGCTCCCTTCATGGGGTCCGACAAGACTCTGTAAAACTTCCCGACATTGATTCCGGTTAGTTTCTACAAGGGCCCAGCAAGACTCCGTAAACTTCACAACATTGTCTGCTACAACGGCCGACATGACCCCATAAACTCGTCTTCTACAACGGTCCTACATGACCCCATAAAACTGTCTTCTACACCGTTATGACACCACCATACAGTGTCCTCTACAACGTTATGACACCCCCATACAGTGTCCTCTACAACGTTATGACACCACCATCCAGTGTTCTTCACCAATGTCTGACACGACCATACAGTGTCTCCTATCCTCTTTATTTTTATGTATTTTCTTGTTTTTTACTCTCTCCAAACTCAAGTTGGGTTAGTTCCTATCCCCCTTGAGTTTGCGGGGGGCTTAAAATCCACCTACTCTCCACCTACTTCACCCACTTAAACCTACTCCACTAAACCTAACCCACTACACCACTACCACCTCACCTACTCCCACAAACCTAACCCACTACACCACTACCACCTCCACTTCACCTACTCCTTACCTACTACACACTCACCCTCTTCTATATATAGGAATCATGAATCATTGTAATTATTATCAATTACAAATCTCATCAATAACATTAGATCAATCAATAATACAATCATTTCTTCTTTATACATTAAATTTCTACAAGGAAGTGATTGTGTTATAAATATAAAAGAAAATTTCCAGGAAAGAGCAATGATTGCCATAATTAAAATTTAAAAAAAAAAAAAAAAAATCACTTGTTTATGAGTTTAGAAAAATCTTTTATTTCCCCTAGTATTCAACACTAACCCCATAAGCAGACAAGGGTAATTTAAACTCAACATGTTCAACAAGAAAAAATAAAATGGACATAGCTACGAAAGAGTGACAACTTTGCAGAATGAATTGACTGTATTGCTTCATTACTCACCAAGTTCCAAGGCAATAGTCTCCGCGAATTCTGAGACCAACCATCCAAACCTGTATTCAGGAAAAAACTGTAGAAAGAAGAGAAACAAAACTTATAAAGAAAATGGAAAGCCGCGTGAGGGAAGGAAACCAACAATAACAAGAACAGGATCATTAAATGAGAAGCCATTGTGATGCATAAAGAAAAATAAATGATAAATGTATACACTTTGGTGGTAACCAAAACATTTGAACCGGTAGCAATACATATGGCCCACATGCAAGTAGCAACAACAGCCTGGGCATGGCTTATAAGCCCCAAGAGACCCTCCATTGTGGCTATCTGAAACACCATTGCCTATCTAAATGGTAGCCAGAGCAGGGAAGGTGTGGAGCCCTTTCAGTTGGATGATAGCATACTTGGTTGTAACTAAAGCATGGACACATGTCTTGTGCATAGATGGGTGCAAGATGGACCTTGGTTGTGTAGGCTTGTGATTAGAAACCAGATGTGGCTGCATTACAAATGGTAGCACAAATAATGGGAACAAGTGCTTGGTACTCTTTGGCTGTGTCTGATTGGTACAAGAGTCAAGACTAACAGTTGTTGGCATTTACGTAAACAGCTCATTTGTGAACTGTGATTCATGATGCAGACACAGTTGTGCAGACAACTGACATGGCTTATGGGGCAAATGTCTGAAAGCAGACAGCATGACAGAGGTAACTGTCAAGACATGTGGCAATCTGGTGTTGCTCTTTGGATCCTTGTAACTGTTGTCTAACGTAGATCATGCCAAGGCACTTCAAACCAGAGAGGCTGCTTTCCCTATATATTGCGTTTCTGGTATGATTGTGTTTATGTATGAGTGGTTGCTGTGTAGAAACTCCTTCACAGCATAATCTCCGTATTTGTTGAAAAAAGATGCACGAGGAGGGGGGCAGCACCACAGGATGAATGCACGTCTCTAAGGTGTCGTTTGGTAGTGTTTATAGTTTACTATTTCTGTTTACAAAAAACATTAAACATATTTATATTTATTTTTGGTAAAAATAAAAACAAAATTCATGTTCAAACATGTATTTTTGGTACACACATGTATTTTGAAAACAAGTGAAAGGGATGGATGGCGGGAGGTGGTGGCCAAAGGTAGTTGTTAGCGGGCAGAGGTAGTTTCCAACAAGAGGTGGTTGTTTTGTTGCCAATTGGAGGTAGTGGCCAAAGGTGGTTGCTGACAATCGGAGGTGCCTGTTGACTGCTGGAGGTGGTGACCAGCCATCGGTGGTGGTGGCTGATGCTGGTTTTCTGAAAGAGGTGATAGCCAAAGGTGGTTGCCGCTAGTGGGAAGTGGTTGACAGAGGTCACCGGCAACAGTGGCTGGATGTGGTGGTGATGAGCAGTGAGTGGTGGGCAAAGGGAGTGGGAGAAGAAGGAAAAAATGAAAATTTTATTTTCTAGACTAGTGAAACCAACTTTTTTGTAGTTACAAGAATTTAGTATATTTTGTAAACTTTTTACAAGTTTTGAAAATGAAAATAAACAAAAAATGAGTTTTGGTTTACAATTTTCAATTTTTTTGTTAATATAAGCAAAACCTACATAAACATAAATGTAAACAGGCCTAAATATTTAAAAAGCATTTTTTTATAAGTCTAAATAATTAAAAAGCACATAAACCTGATAAATAATTTTGATGTAACCAAAGAATCACAATAATATACTACCAACTGAAAACCATTAGTAAATACAGAATTTAGTTAATACCCATGCAACGGATTTGGAGAGGAAGGACATGGTTGCAATGTCTACTTTCAGCTGGAGCTCCAGCCCAGGATATTGAACCTGTTATACACAACAGAAAAGCACTTTACAATCAAGTAGGCATCTTTTCATATTAATCCAACCTATACAATAGTCGCACAGTGGAACATGTATCGTGTGGAATATGAAACATTATGATTTTAGAATAACTTACTGGCTTTTTTAAACAGAGGCTATTTAAGGCCCAAAAATTGAGTAATTTAGGATTTTAATGGTTAAATTGAAGGCTAATAGATAGAAGGGTTGATTTGGGGGTAATCAAATATGGCTTTGGGGCTTAAAAGTGCAGTTTTAGAGGATTGTGAATAGTAACCCAAGAATAGTAACTAGGGTATGTGCGCAAAGAGATGGAGAAGAAGAAGAGAAAGAAAGAGGTGCTTCACCCTCACAAGGGTTAGGTTAATCACACACACAATCTCAAATTCTAATAATATCAATTCTTCTATTGAATCATTGAGATTGCACACATGTATAAGCGAAAGACTTTCCTACTTCTATAAGGGCTATGACCCAAATTTGGAAACTAAGAATATTTGGTAACTAATAACATTCTAGATCAATTAGGATTTCAAATAAAATTCAAATAACATTACTTGACCTGCAAGACAACCCATGGACTATGACCATTAATCATGTCCAGCAATTATTGAATTAAACATAATACCCCAAAGTACTAAAACCTACTATAATAATATAAATTTTTCTAGCAATGTAACAAATTATAATAAATACAAATAAAGAGTCAAAATTATTCCAAAACTTCAATTCTTGATGCCCTAGATATGATTCATGTGAAAATCCAAATTTTTCCTTTTTCTTCTTTTCATGCCCACCATCACATTAGTATTTAAAGAGCTACCCACAGTTATTGATTATAATGTACCTATATGTTATAACAATTATCATGTATGCTATACATTATCAGCATATTTAACCCATAATTCTACTGCTCTCTATAAGGCCTACCACATGAATCCATCGCACCTTTGGCAGGAGGAGTTAGAAAGGTGAAAAGAGAACAAGACAAGACCTGCGTATATCGCTCCTGTCTAAGCAAACACATATATGATATACATATGCCTGGATTATATTTGTGTAGTGCAGGGCCAGACTCTCTTCAAGGCGATTCCAACTTTTTCTATTCTTTTCCCCTAAGAAAGTGGTTGGGAATTACTAAATCTATTGGCGTGCATTCGCTCATCGAAAAATAGGATTTGATTGAGTATTGAGAAGTCAAGGAATTTAGGCCAAAATACCAAATGAAAGTAGATCAATTTCTTTTCATTCATGAGGAAATACATTTATTACCTGATCTTCTTCCATTATCCCCATATTTTTATATTGGCCCCCCAAAAAAAACATAACTTTATTAACTCGAAATAAGGATCAAAATAAGAATTAATGAAAAAAGCTTCATCACTATACAGTACATCCAAACTAGATTGGCACACGCTCATAACAACTCACAAGGCTCGTCCAAAAACCCCAAAAGTGGGCTAGAATGGAATGCTCATTCTAACTTTGTATTATCTTTCCCTTATTTGATACAGCTTATGTAAGTAAGAATAGTCATTCCATTTGAATTGTTCTTCCAACAAAAAGTGAGAATACCTATTTCATCCTCCATACTAAGGAATAGACCTTCCATTCCATTATTGCATCACCCTAAAGCAATATTAGTTGGTCTTCACTCACCACCATCCCCTTTTGCCACCATTATTACCACTATCATCACCGCCACCTACCACCACCCCCACAACCACCACTCTACCATTGCTATGACCACCACAATTACAATTATCAACCTACCACCACCACCATCCTACTACAACCACTGCCAAAATTACCACCATCACCACCGCTATCACTACTACCACCTACAACCATCACCATCGCCACCACTGCCATTCTACTAACACATCTGTCAACACCACCACAACCACCACCATCCTACTACCACTACTACCATCACCACCTTGCCACCACTATCGCCACCACTACCACTACAACCGGTCTTCACTCACCACCATCCCCTTTTGCCACCATTATTACCACTATCATCATCGCCGCGACCTACCACCACCCCCACAACCACCACTCTACCATTGCTATGACCACCACAATTACAATTATCAACCTACCACCACCACCATCCTACTACAACCACTGCCAAAATTACCACCATCACCACCGCTACTTCATTTATAAATAAGGGGTGATATCTCATCATACCCTAAGCTGGTTAGCCAAGCTTCACCTACCACCACCACCATCCTACTACAACCACTGCCAAAATTACCACCATCACCACCGCTATCACTACTACCACCTACAACCATCACCATCGCCACCACTGCCATTCTACTAACACATCTGTCAACACCACCACAACCACCACCATCCTACTACCACTACTACCATCACCACCTTGCCACCACTATCGCCACCACTACCACTACAACCACATACCACCACCATCTTACTATTACCGCCACCTTATCACAACCACCACCACGATGACACCACCCTCCTACCACCACCACCACCATCGTAGTACTGTTGTCATTGCCACTGCCACTGCCACCACCACTACCACCACCACACAATCCAATACAAGCACCACCGATGTCACAACTACCACCACCACTTCTACAACTATCAACACTATTATAATCTACAAATATTTAGATTGGTTGTTTCTAGTTTGAATTTAAAAATATATAAATAAAAAAAACTCCTCCTATTCCATTAGTTTAATAGATATAACCAAACATGAGAATTTGAATAGTCATTCCATTCCTACATCATTCCACACTGTCAACCAAATAGTGGAATATGAATGGGCATTCCATTCCATGCTCACTCTCATTTCATTCCCACATTATTCCATTCCTGCGCTGCGTACCAAACATGCTCAAAGAGAAACCCCTTCAAATTGGCAATATGGCAACAAAAAACTACACCCAAGGTCTTACAAACAATCAACAAACAGAGAAAGACTAAACGGTAACACAACTACCACAAAGAAAGTGAACCATTAGCACCATGAAAGAAAAATGAAATGGTCACTAAAACCCCTAGAATCACTTCGCGTGCATGCACAACATCTCTATTCTGCATAATGTTATATACTCCTCCCATATCAACCTTTCATCAGAGGAAAACCAAGAAATCTTCCTAACAAAGGCAAGTCTAAAACTTCCAAAGCCTCAGTGAAGCTATTAAAATCATACATGCCTGTAATAAAAAGTCAACTTTTCTTCCTTCACCAAATGTTTTAACCTCCCTCTTTTCTCTTTCCTGCCAAGCCATCTTACATTCCATGAGAAAGCCCCATCAATAAACAATACCGAATGATTAAACCCCTGTATGAAACAGATCTCACTTCAATGGAGGTTCACTAACATTTTTAAATAATTTGTTATCCTGCTCTAGTTCAACAATTCTGCCATATATCATAACCATATAGTATACACAATAATGGTCATTCACGGTGGCAACTCCAAAATTTTTTGTCACTAAGGTCAATAACTCTTATAAAAAATAAATTAGAACATTTCCATATTCATACTAATATGAACGAAAATTAAACACAGCGGAAAACTTCAAATGACATCACAACATTGACCAACCTTAACTGCAGCTTCTTGATGGTCTTTCAATATGGCACGGTGTACTTGACTAATAGAAGCAGCAGCAATGGGATGTTCATCCAAGAAAAGAAATCTGTGAGGTACACAATTTTTTTTGGTTAGATACACAATTAACTCCCAAGTCAATAAAGAAAGCTTGCATTCTGAGTAGAAACTAGTAACCACTGACTGATTATATATGCAGATTTTTTGATAGAGCCAAACTAAACCAAACCAAACCAAACTAAGGGTTGTGTCCCAATCAAGTGGGGCCGGCTACATGAATCCTTTTTTGAGAAAGCTCAAGAAGTAAAAACAAAACTTGCTCATGAGTATACTGTAAGTTTTCTGAATAAAACTGTATATTAGTCTTGAATTCAATTGAACAAAGAATACATACATCATTTATATAGAGTACCACTAATTCCTAATCCTGCATGAATACATTACTGAGATATATAGAAGTCTAATAGATATAAGACACTTATTCCTAATCCTAGGAGAACACATATTCTCACACCCCCGCTCAAACTCAAGGTGTTTTAGCAGAAAACATTGAGAGTTTGTCAAGAAAGAACCGAAACCGAGCAATGGTGTGAGTCTTAGTGAAGAAGTCAGCAAGTTGCAGAGCCGAAGAGACAAAAGGAAGCGAGATAAAACCAGACTGCAGATGCTGACGGATGAAGTGACAATCAATCTCAATATGCTTTGTCCGTTCATGGAAGACAGTGTTATGAGCAATTTGAATAGCACTTCGGTTGTCACAATAGAGAGAGGTCGGGGAAGATTGAGGGACGCCCAACTCAGATAAGAGATTACGAAGCCAGACAATTTCAGCAGTAGCATGAGCCAGAGCACGATACTCAGCTTCGGCAGTAGAACGGGCAACAACAGTCTGTTTCTTGCTTTTCCAAGAAATAAGGGAATCACCAAGAAACATACAGAAACTAGAAGTAGATTTACGATCATTAACATCACCAGCCCAATCAGCATCAGCATAAGCCACCAAGTCTAAGGAAGAAGTAGAAGAGAACAGCAAGCCCTGAAAGATAGTACTGCGAAGATAGCGAAGAATCCGAAGCAAAGCAGCCTAATGTGTAGAGCGAGAGGCAGAAACAAACTGACTAATCACATGGACAGCATAGGCAAGATCAGGGCGAGTAACTGTCAGATAGACTAAACAACCCACAAGCTCACGATACAACGTAGGATCGTCTAGAGGAACCCCATCAGTAGTGTTGAGCTTTACATTAAGCTCAATGGGGGTATCAAACAGCTTAGTGTCAGTAAGTCTGGCACAATGGATAACCTCGTTAGCATACTTAGCCTGGGACAGAAAGTAACCCTTGGGAGAAGAAGCCACCTCAATGCCAAGAAAATACCGCAATGGTCCTAGATCCTTCATTTCGAAGGTGCGGAATAGATGCTGCTTGACCTCAGAGATAGCAGAAGAGTCAGAGTCAGTGATGATCATATCATCTACATATAGTAAGAGAGCAACAAAACCAGCCGAGGTATGTCTTAGAAATAAAGCAGAGTCGGAAGCAGAAGGATGAAACCCAAGCTCGGTAACAGCAGTCTGAAAGCGATCATACCAAGCACGAGGAGACTGCTTCAGACCATATAGAGCACGCCGAAGACGACAGACTTGGCCGGAGGAATGGTGAAGACCAGGGGGAGGACGCATGTAAACCTCCTCAGTGAGATGGCCATTAAGAAAAGCATTCTTAACATCCATCTGATAAAGAGGCCAAGAACGAAAAGCAGCGACAGAAATCAAAGTACGGACAGTAGTCATCTTGGCAACAGGAGCAAATGTCTCCTCATAATCAATACCATACTCTTGGGAGAAACCTTTGGCCACCAGACGAGCTTTGCAGCGCTCAAGAGAACCATCAGAATGAGTCTTGACTTTGTAGACCCATTTGCAACCAACCAGATTCTTACCAGCAGGTAAAGGAACCAACTCCCAAGTACTAGTTTTTTGTAGAGCAAACAACTCATCCTCCATAGCTTGAACCCAATGAGGATCCTGACAGACCTCCTTATAAGACTAAGGTTCTGCAAAAGAGTGAATAGCAGATAAAAAGGTACGATAGGAAGCAGAAAAACAAGTATTAGACCAATCCAACCTTTTTGGAGGATGACGCGCTCGAGGAAGATATCGGTGTGCAGCAGGATCAGAGTCGTCAGAAGCAAGAGGATCAGCAGCAGGGGTAGAGACAACTGGTAGAGGAGGAACCTTGCGACGAGAATAAACTAACAACGGAGGAGAAGAAGGAGGAGAAGGCGAAGAAGGAGAAGTAGCCAGAGGTGAAGCAAGAGGAGAAGATGGAATAAGCTCAGGAGGAACTGTGGAGATGTACTCATCAGATGGGACCTCAGAAGGAAATGGATCAATATGAACCAAATCCTCTTTGGAAATTGGGGCGGTGAGAGGAGGAAGCTGAAAGTAAGATAGACGTTCGAGAAAGGCAACATGGCGGGAGACATAAAGGCGACGAGAAACAGGGTCATAACAGCGATAACCTTTCTGAGTGAGACTATATCCCAAAAAAACACATAGGACAGACTGGGCACTAAGTTTAGTCTTATCTTTACAGGGTAAAAGGACAAAACACGCAGACCCAAACACACGAAGGAGGGAGTAATTAGGAAGTTAAGAAAAGAGAGCCTCATAAGGAGACCGACCAGAAAGAAGGGGGGTAGGCATACGGTTGAGAAGAAAAGCAGCAGTAAGAACTGCCTCACCCCAAAATGGAGCTGGAACGGAGGCAGAGAGAAGAAGAGACCTAGCTGTCTCAAGAAGATGACGGTGTTTACGCTCAGCTCGGCCATTTTGGGCAGGTGTATCAGTACAAGAAGTTTGGTGAATGGTACCCAAGTTGGCCAAATATTCACAGAATTCAGTTTTAAAGTATTCCCCACCCAAGTCAGACCGCAACATTTTAATAGTAGATCTAAACTGTGTAGTGACAATGGACTGGAAAGTACGATATATCTGGTAGAAGTCAGGCTTATGAGTCATAAGATAAACCCACGTGTAACGGGTGCAATCATCAACAAAAGACACATAGTATACTGAACCCCCTTTAGTAAGAACAGGAGAGGGTCCCCAGACATCAGTATGCACAAGAGAGAAAGGAGAAACAGAAATAGATGTACTTTTATTAAAAGGTAAAGCTGACATTTTGGCAAGTTTACACCCCCGATATTCATCAATTTGACTAGGAGAAACTTTACCCAACAATCCTGACTGAGCTAAAGACCGTAAGCGGTCAACAGACAAATGACCGAGACGAGAATGCCATAAGTAAAACTGACTCGACTGAGAATCTAATTGAAACGAGGAAAGTGCAGCTGGAGAGGTGGATAAGGGGAGATGCAAGCTTTCAACCACATAGAGATCTCCAATTCTACGGCCGGTCCCAATCTGCTTCATGGACACCCGATCCTGCACACAATAGACAGAAGAGGAAAAGATAACATCAAAACCAGACGCATCAAGTTGACTGATAGATAACAAACTGACAGATAACTGAGGAACATAAAAAACAGAAGGAATAGTAACAGCAGACATGACAGAGGGTAAGACAGACCCAACAGATAAAACAGACATACCAGATCCATTAGCAGTATTAATAGTAATAGGAACGGGTGGGGGAATACAATTTTGAAGTAAGGAAAGGTGAGGAGTCATATGATGAGAGGCACCAGAATCAAAAATCCAGACAGAAGAAGGGATACCTGAAGAGGACCCAAGCAAACCTGAATGAAGAGAGGTAAGAGCAGAGGCAGATGGGGATGATTGAGAGGTGGACAGGATATGCTGAAGTTGTGCAACCTGAGCACTCAGGGAAGCCAAGTCAGGATCGGGAACCGGAGTAGATGCAGTGTAAGCAGCAGGAGGTCGGAAAGTACTCGAAGTAGGACCGCAGAACTATGTCTAAGAAGACAGAGCAGGCTGACGTCCCTTTTTGGAACAATTGTTCTTCCAATGACTTCTCTGATGGCAGAAAGCACACTCATCTGGCCCTAATAGTCCTCTCTTGGGTTTCGCAGTGGCCTGAAGTTGATGAGGAGGAGGGGTCGATAACAAGGGTGGCTTGGCAGGAGCCAAGAACACAGAAGGAGGCAAAGTCTGACTGGCCGTCTTAAGATGGGTTTCCTCGGAGAGGAGTTCACGAACAATAGCATCCACAGAGGGAAGAGGAGATCGGTGAAGGATGCCACCTCGAATAGTCTCATACTGAGGGGAGAGAGCTGTTAAGAACTGGACTAAACGACCCTGTTCCCGAAACTCAATATAAGTGTCTAGTATCTTGAGACAAGGTGGTTTCATAAGAGCCAACTGATCCCAGAGACCTGTCATCTCAATATAAAATTCCTGAATAGTTTGATCCCGCTAACGAGCACTCTGAATAGTTGTTTTCAACTCATACCGCTTGGCAAAGTTGGACTGCTGATAAACACCGAGTAAATAATCCCACACTTCCTTGGCAGTGCTGTACTTGGAAAACATCATTCCAATACGGTCATCCACAGAGTTATGAAACCAGGTAAGAACTTGGGCATTATCACAATCCCAAGTGTCACAGGAAGACAGATACCCTTCTACCTTCGGGTCCGATGGACGAGGAGCAAAACCAGAAACATAGCCCCATTTTTTTTAACCAAGAAGAAAATTCTTCATAACACTGGCCCAATAGGCATAATTGCCACCAGTGAGTTTACATTTAATGGCTTGAATTTTAGGGTCCATTATAAAGCAAAGTTGTAGAATAGTTAGGTCAAAGTATAATAAAGGAAACACTGAAGAACCAAACTGAGAACCTGAAGCCAAGAGAACCAAACTAGAGGAGTGAGAACCTGAAGCCGACACATGCGAACCAGAATGAGAGAGAGAAGACGGCGAGTCGAATAGATGAGTCGACCAGTTGAGTCGAACAGTAGCAAGGAATCAGATGAATCAGACCCAACCAGATGATCGACGAAGCAAGAAGCTTCGTCCGACAACCAGGGCAGAGAGAGAGAGAGGAATCGCGAACTAGACTGTGCCAAGGAGAAGATTCACGACTGACGATTGATGAAGCAAAGGGCTTCGATCAACAATCAGGTTTGAGAGAAGGAGAGAGACCTACGGTGCTAGGGTTTCTCAACCTGCTCTGATACCATGTAAGTTTTCTGAATAAAACTGTATATTAGTCTTGAATTCAATTGAACAAAGAATACATACATCATTTATATAGAGTACCACTAATTCTTAATCCTACATGAATACATTACTGAGATATATAGAAGTCTAATAGATATAGGACACTTATTCCTAATCCTAGGAGAACACATATTCTCACATATACTACCTGCTGGAAAAGCAACATGTGATGCTACCATCAGAAAATGAAAATTGTTATAACTAATTATTCTTTGAAGTTGACACTTTGATTTAGATAGAGAATTAGAAATGAATGTTGTTTGAAAATAAGTCCAAGGAACTCAATAGGATATGAGATAAAGCTCACTTATGGCATCTTTTTGGGTTTCCTTTTCCTCACCGTTTAAGGGGATTCCTTTGTACTTAATTAATAGCGATTGGAGACCTATCTGTGATTCGTAACCTTGTTCTCTTTCTTGTTCTTTTAGTAGAAGACTTCTTGTCCTCAGTTGTACCTTTTGTACCTTCTCTTAATTTATTTTAATAGCATTTTGTTTTGTTGTTGATCAAAAATAATACATGCTATTTCCATCTGCGATCAATTTTCATTCACATGGACTTTTTAAATGACTTCTCAATCAAATGACCATCTGATAGGCCTAGTCAAATTAGTGATTTTGGTCAAGCCATAATCAACATGGAAAAAAACCTACAAGCATAACAAATGTGGGATGGAAAGTAATGAGACCAACTAAACTACAAACAGATTGCTATTGGGGTTTCCAGTTAAAGGAAATTTATTATCCATGCTACCAGCAAGATATGATAACAACAACTAAGGCAACACTATGGAATGAACTTACCACAGGAAAAAAAACACTATTTGAACTTCCAAAATCAAAAGAAAAGAATGCTATCTATTGTTCCAGATTAAAAATATTGAACTTCATACAATGGTTTGATAAAAAGGATCTTCAAAAGATTGGTCAGTCATGTGCCCAGGTCAATATATTGAGCCAACGAAAAAATAAAAAAGTAAAAACAAAGGTCGACCTGAATGAAAGAATGGTGAACATGGACAACACACAAAAACTAAAGATGGATGAGCAGTTTTTGGTCACAAAATATGTGGTGAAGAAATTGAGATCTATTCAATTCTCCCTCTACTAAATCACTAGGATTAAAAATAAAATAAAATAAAATAAAAATAAAAAAAAGACTACTAAAATTTTGTAGCCAATATTCTTCTGCCATTTCTGAATTTCATTCAGGCATGTCACCATCCAACTCCCGACTAGCAGAGCTAATATAGAGTTTAGATGCTAAATTTGAAACTTCTAGAGCATACAAAAGACAAAAGATGGGATGGCCCGTTTGTTTTCAGAGGTAGAATGGAAGAGATTCATAGTGAGGGGATTGTTAGTGAGGGGATTAAGTAAAATTGTATTTGTTTTGATAATAGTTGTTAGTGTAAGAATTGTTAAATTATTTTTATAGAAAATAATAAAACAAATAAAAAAATACAAAAAATTAAACATTAATGTTCAAAAAAAAAATGCCCAACATGTAAAAAATAAAAAAATTTCTAGCCCCCTCACTATTTTTCTAATACCACCTCCACCTCCTCCATCCCAATCCCCCTTCCAACCTCCATCTTAATCCCCTCATCCATCCTAATCCCTTCCCCAACTCTACAAACAAACACCACACTAAATGAGCCCCACCTCCATCCTAATCCAATCCCACCCTCTACACCCCAAAACAAACGGGGCCTATAGGTCTTTTAAGTGGATATATTGAGCAGCAAATCTGATATCATTGTTGTGCAACAACAGGAATGCGGTCAATTTGATAGACTAGCAACAGTTGAAAAATTGTTGAAGTGGAGAATGAACGTAAAAATATTCACTTCGGGATTGATAGGCATGTCAAATAATATGACTGACAAAATAAATTTCCGCTGATCTCCAATGACTTACATCTCTGATAAATCTGGTCCCAAATTGCTGGTTAGTACGTCTTTTATAGCTTTGAAATTGCAAGGAACTACCTAAGACATGGCAGCCACAAATCAGCATAAAAACCAATCAGATGCGTTATCATGTGCATTTAAAATTGTAACTTCAGTTGAGGCGCTAGAAAATTAAAACCTGATCCTGTAAGGATATAAGAGTTGACGAGTATTCTTTTGGGACCTGCTGCAGGGCTGCAACAAACTGACCAGCTTTCACGTAGAAACCTTTATTGGCTTCACATAGTCGTAAAATTCTCTTGGCTGAGCGCAAGTGAACCTAAAAGCCAAGGAAGGATCAAGTACTCACCACACAGGCAAGGTTCTCAACCAATATATAAAGATCTTTTCTTTCCTTGTGCTAATAATATGATTTCTAACAGATAAAATCCATATCTCTTCTAAATGAAATAGTGATTGATTTGGATGATGATATTGTTACTTCCTTGGAAATGACCTCTGTTCCATAAAATCATTCTCAATTTTGATGATTTGACCAATTATGATTCTAATAGCCTAGAAATAAGTTACAAAACAAAATTATATGAGCCAACCTGGTACCGAAGGTATTTTCTATTGCAATTGTTGCAAGACAGCTTCATGCACCTCATTGTAGAGTTCAACTCAATACCAACCAAATAAATAAATAAGAAAGAAAAAGAAATTGGTGTTTGGCTTAACGATGCAAGTCTGTTACGACAACTCTCTGTTAAGATATTTATTTATTTATAAAAAATGAAAAAACAGTGCCAAGATATTTGACACTGCATGAGCTTACTGAAGAAAAAAAGTGTTACCCTAAGAAGGCTAAAGCTAACTTAGTAATTATCTCATTAAGTTTAAGCAATCAGGGATTAGCATTTGGAGGACTTAAGTATAGGTCCTAATAGGTAAATTTATTGTCCATTAGATTCGATGATAATTAATGATATTTTTCATCAAACATTATTAAAAAAAAGTTAGTAATTGTTAATTTTCAGCGATAGTTTGAAAATATTATCACAAAATATTGTCACTAATTATAAGTTTTAGCATAATCTAAAAAAATCGTCACAAAAAAAGTCAATAATTTTCAACTTTCAACGACATTTTGAAAAATTTATTACAGAAAAAAGTTACTAATTATAAGTTTTAGCGACAATTTATAAAAAAAAAATGTGATAAAAAAAATTCACTCAATTTTTAGTGAAAAATGCAAAAAAAATCGTCACAAAAAAATTATTTTTAGCGATAATTTTACTAGAACTTATATTTAATATGACTTGATGGAAATTAAATCAAAAACTAGTGGTAGTTTCTCGTATTTGGATTTAGACGTATACGTAATTAAGAACATTCATAGGAAAGCATTTCTTATTAAAACAACCAGTTCATTTTACAGTTCCAAGTTCATACAACATTTTACATATCCATCTTATATAGCACGAACCTCAGATAGTACATGTTGATATTCGTCCGATTTCACCGACAACCCATGCAAAGAATACTTGTAATCAACAACATTTGCAGTGATCTGCCACCAAAAATACAACAAATTTGAAAAAATAATGAAATTGATAATAATTCCAGAAATAATCGATAGATAGACAAGGAGAGAAGTCAGACGGTCCAGATGGCGCGGGAGGATCGTACGACTCCGCCAAGTCCAGCCCTAATTTTCTGAGAGAAAGCTGCGGAAATGAGACGAGAATGGTCAGAAAATGGGGGAAAGCTAGGGTTTATGGTGTGGGTGGCGAGAGCGCCGGCGCCGGCGGCGGTTATGCAGAGAGAGGTGGTTGCGGCCTTGGCGCGAAACTTGAAAACTAGACGAGCAGTCCTCATATTCATATATAGTGTATTATTGGTCTGTCTTTGCTGGCTACAGTCTCCGGCTCGGTGGCTTGTGTTGTGCGGAGGGAATGGCGGAGCCAAATATATACTACAACACTTCGGTCATGTTTGTTCACCGGCGTCGGCGCCGGATTGTATTACTACAATATAACTTGTTTGGTGATCATTTGGGGCATTTCCCTCGATAAGTAAAAATACTAATTTAATTTTCAAACTAAGTCTTATTTTTAAAGAATTTTCAAAATAGAATTTTCAAAGGAAAAAGATTGAGGCCTCAAATTTAAGGCCTTGAGTATGACTTGAATCGCGTTTTTTTTTTTTTTTTTTCAAACCGTGTTGGTTTTGTTGTTATTGTTGTTTTTTTTTTATTTTTTTATTTGTTAGGTTGTGTTAGTTTGGTTATTTTTATTTATTTATTTATTTATTTATTGGGCTGCTGTAATTTTATTTATTTATTTATTTATTTTTAAAGGATGGTTATGTGTAGGGATGGGTTTAGAGTTTAGGATTTAAGCTTTAGGTTTTTATTTCTTTTGAGCCTTTCTTATTTGAAATAAAAATATAGTAAGGACTCGTACAAAATTATATGAAATTAACAAATTTTAACTAGCAGTCTAACTGATCAGTCAATTTTATCACTCAATCAATCTAACCCAATTGTTTTTTTTTTTTTTTCTATTTGTTGGGCTATGTTGGTTTTATTTTATTTGTTGGACTGTGTTGATTTATTTATTTTTTTATTAGGATTTAGGTTTTAAGATACACATAAAAACCTTTCCAAAAAAAAAAAAAAAAACCAAAAACAAAACCAAACCAACATAAAAAAAAAAGAAGACAAAACAACTTTTCGTGGCAAATTCGTGCCTCCAATTTCGAGGTCTTTAGCACGGTTCATTTCCAAAATATGCTAAACTGTGATTCACAACCACGCTTTCAACGTGTGTGCGCCTGTCTCGCGTGAAAATTGGGAAGTCTTAAAAGCGTGGTTACAAAACGCACTTTTGATTAAAAAAGCGCAGTTACAAAAGGTGCTTTTAATTAATTTTTTTTCTTCTGAAATCGCTGTTCTGAACTACGTTTTTTGGCAATTTTTTTTTTCATTAAGTGAAATCGTGGTTCACAACCACGCTTTTAAAACTTGTATATAATCTCCACAGCTCCATGTTTTGCATTCACGCTTGTTACAGTTTCACTCTCTCGCTCTTACTACTCTCTCTCTCTCTCTCGCGCTCTTACTGCTCTCTCTCTGTCTCTGTGCTCGAGCTCCCTCTGTTTCTCAGTACTGTCGGTACCTCTCTCTCGTTGGTATGGCTTCTGTCATCTACTTTAATGCGTTTTTTGTGTTTATGAAAATGTGAATAAATTAGGGTTAGGGTTCATGAATGTGGGTATAATGTTGGTAGAATAGGGTTCATGAATGTGAAAATGTTGTGAAATCAGAAATAATAAATTAGGGTTAGGGTTTATATTTGTGAAATCTGTTTAGAAATCTATTGAATGCGAATGTTGAATGGTTTATATTTATCTTAAAACTGTTTATAATTGTGAAATCTGTTGAATGTGAAATCTTAAATCTTAAATTAGGGTTAGCGTTAGAGTTTATATTTGTGAAATCTGTTTAGAAATCTATTGAATGCGAATGTTGAATGGTTTATATTTATCTTAAAACTGTTTATAATTGTGAAATCTGTTGAATGTGAAATCTTAAATCTTAAATTAGGGTTAGCGTTAGAGTTTATATTTGTGAAATCTGTTTAGAAATCTATTGAATGCGAATGTTGAATGGTTTATATTTATCTTAAAACTGTTTATAATTGTGAAATCTGTTGAATGTGAAATCTTAAATCTTAAATTAGGGTTAGCGTTAGAGTTTATATTTGTGAAATCTGTTTAGAAATCTATTGAATGCGAATGTTGAATGGTTTATATTTATCTTAAAACTGTTTATAATTGTGAAATCTGTTGAATGTGAAATCTTAAATCTTAAATTAGGGTTAGCGTTAGAGTTTATATTTGTGAAATCTGTTTAGAAATCTATTGAATGCGAATGTTGAATGGTTTATATTTATCTTAAAACTGTTTATAATTGTGAAATCTGTTGAATGTGAAATCTTAAATCTTAAATTAGGGTTAGCGTTAGAGTTTATATTTGTGAAATCTGTTTAGAAATCTATTGAATGCGAATGTTGAATGGTTTATATTTATCTTAAAACTGTTTATAATTGTGAAATCTGTTGAATGTGAAATCTTAAATCTTAAATTAGGGTTAGCGTTAGAGTTTATATTTGTGAAATCTGTTTAGAAATCTATTGAATGCGAATGTTGAATGGTTTATATTTATCTTAAAACTGTTTATAATTGTGAAATCTGTTGAATGTGAAATCTTAAATCTTAAATTAGGGTTAGCGTTAGAGTTTATATTTGTGAAATCTGTTTAGAAATCTATTGAATGCGAATGTTGAATGGTTTATATTTATCTTAAAACTGTTTATAATTGTGAAATCTGTTGAATGTGAAATCTTAAATCTTAAATTAGGGTTAGCGTTAGAGTTTATATTTGTGAAATCTGTTTAGAAATCTATTGAATGCGAATGTTGAATGGTTTATATTTATCTTAAAACTGTTTATAATTGTGAAATCTGTTGAATGTGAAATCTTAAATCTTAAATTATTTTCTTTCTCTATTATGGAAAGTATAAGGAGATGTTTGGCATAAAAGAAAAGCAAGTTCAGTCAAAAGAAAATGAGGAGAAAATTAAGGAGAATGGGAGAAAATTTTCAGTTGTGAGAGGGTGGCCGTGTCCTTCGCCGCGAATAGTCTGAGTGAAACCCAAGATTGTCGTCGACGACGTTCTTGTGATTGTGAATTACAAATATATTTTATAGGGTTTTCAATTGTGAAATCAGAAATTAGGGTTATGGTTTTAGGAATTTGGGTTTTGAATTGTGAATCCTGTCTATATTTATTGCATTGTGAATTGTGAATCCTATCTATTTTTTTACAAATTAGGTTTTTGAATTTTGAATTTAGAATCCTGTCTATATTTTTTGAATTGAAAATATAATTTCTGATTGCTTCTTAGTCCTGTCGATATGGCTAAATCTTATTATTCTTTCGCTTATCTCTTCAGCTTCATCATTAGGCCACTATAACTAGTAAAAACAATTTTTTTGGGTTGTTTTAGGAAATAAATTAAAAGCTAATTTTTTGTATTTTATAAATTTTTTTTGGAAAAACGTGTAAAAAAAATACTAAAAATGCCTTTTTACCTCTTTCCCAAAAAATTACCAAAACATTAGAAGTCAAAAAATTTGATATAAATAAATGACTTTTTAGAAGTGATCCACAAAAAAATTGATATAAACATTAGAGGTCAAAAAATTTGATCCACAAAAAATTAGAAGTAAAAAAATTACTTTTTACCTCTTTGCCAAAAGAGGCCTTTCAAGTCGTCATGGAAAATGCTATTATCAAAACATATGATATAAAAAAAAAAATTGTTTAAGAATTATGTTTGAAAAAATTAAAATATTTGATTTATAAAATGAGTCATTCTCGATAATTTTTACCCACTTGAATTATCCAACTGACTTATTCTCTATGCGCCTGCATTATGTTTATTCAATTAAGTTTTAACTTTTTATGATAGTCGGATGTTTGAATCATTTTACGTATTTATCGACTAATCTTACAATCCACACCAAACGTCCCTTCCACGTAGATCCGACAAATCTCAATTAATACCTACAAACATGACATATACTGAGAGTTCAACTTGAGATCTGAAAGGAGCATATCTAATTTTTTACACATAATGACAGCTCATTAATATTAATGAAACTCAAGTTTGACTCGATTCAGGTCGATAATTTTTTTGTTATGTTTTTTATATTGCTTAAAATTATGAGAGCTCATTAATTTTTTATTTATGTTATTTCTTACGTTATTTTCCTAAGTTATTTCCTACATTATTTCGTATGAGGCTATTTCCCTAAGTTAGGGAATAATCTCAAAGGAAATAACCTACCAAATAACTTTGTCATTAAGGTCCCTATTGGCAGAAGCTTGAGCAAATAAAAGTAACTTCTCTTTAATTGTCCATAAATCTCACTAATTGGACCACCAGTTTTAAAAAATTACGTGAACAATGTTTGAAATAAAAATTAAGAACAAGTCATACAAAATCAGTCGAGTTATTTCAACTCAATGAAAAAAATAATAATTTCATAGAAAAAGTTACACTATGATTTAAGATTTTTGTATGACTTGTCCAATTTTGTCCAATCGCACTGAATAAATACAATACTTGATACAAATTATACTATAAAATTATATGAACAGAAAAATAAAAGAAGAATCTTCATAATGTCTTCATATTCAAAATTATTGATATATCTGTCTAGTTTATCGAAATACTAATGTCTAAATAGATCAAGATTTATCAAAATATCCTGAAAATAAGTGTTTTTTAAATTGTTACGATTTACATGCGTACGATTAAATCATTGCCCAAATTAGGGGCTTTTCCCAAATTAAGGCAAAATAGTAATTTATTTCCCAAAGTAGGCTTAGTTTGGACAGAATTCCTAAACTAAGCTAAAACGCGGATATAAACCACGCCTTCACTGTTTTTGTGGCCCTCCCGTGAACAATTTGTAAAATCTTAAAAGCGTGGTACAATCCACGCTTTTAATTAACAAAACGTGGTTACAAATCACGCTTATAAGGAAATTATATTTATACATAAATTTTTAAGTAATTATTTTTTTAAAGTAAATCTGATTAATGAAATTTGATTTATACATAACCATACTTTTGTTAAGTAATTCTTTCTATCTTCAGAAAACGTGGTTGCAAACCACGGTTTTACTGTTGACCCATGGATAATAACCACTTCTAAGCAAAATGTAAAAATTCAACAAAAAATTCAAAACCAGCACTCATTTTTGTTTCTCACAGACACTCTCTCTATCCCTCTCTTTGACACACACCCACAATACTCACACTCACATCAAACATATATAATTTTTAATATATATAAATTTTATTTTGTAAAATTCAGACCAATATTAAGTATATATAATAATAATCAACTATATAAAATGATTATTTTTTTACTTTAATTCTTAAAATGTAATTTTTTTTATTTAGGTAAATTACACTGACACCCTTAAGGTTTATGTTTATGGCAGTTATTCCCCCACC